GCAGGAATGACTTGTAAATTACTAGTATTGGACAATTATTGGTAAGTGCTGTTTTTAAGCATTCTCTCTTTTAAAAACTGGAAAGTCACATTACACTAGGGAAAAAACCCATGTTTTCTAAAATTAATTACATTTTCACCTGACTGTGTCAGAGAGACGAAGTCGTATTTCCATGCCACTGTGAAGCATATTGTCCATTGAGCCCCATACAATTCAGTGTTTGAATAAAAATTCAGACATGATTTTGAAATGCACATCAAAACTGTGTATTAATAAATGAATGTGACTCATGCCAGGCTGGCTCATAGGAGAGAGCTGGAGCAGCTCTGCTCTGGAGACAGGCTGGGAGAGTTGGGGTGTTCAGCCTGGAGAAGAGAAGGCTCCAGGGAGACCTTAGAGCACCTTCCAGTGCTTGAAGGGGCTCCAGGAAAGCTGGGGAGGGACTTGGGACAAGGGCAGGGAGGGAGAGGACAAGGAGTAGTAGCTTAAAACTGGAAGAGGGGAGGTTCTGTAGTTTGTATGTCTATTGCGCTATTGAAATAATTGAAATTGGAATGACTGAAATATAAATGATGTGTCTGAAATGGTAATGATATTAATATGAAGGCCTACTGACAGTCATCTCCCCAAATTAGTAGTGTGAGGGCAAGTGGTTTCCAGTCATTGGAGAGAATTTTACAGGTTTCTTTAACGGAAGGGGTTACTCATTTTTAATGTGAAAATTATGGATCCTAATTAGTGTCCGGTGTGTGTTTCACTTCATTATTCATAGTGTAGTTCAGATACAGAATTCTATAGCAATTACTTAACCAGGAGGGTTCACCAAATGAGGAAAAGTCATCGAATCCTCACTTCCTACCTCAGCCATTTCTTAAGCCTACAGTATGTTTGAAAGTAACAGTTTAGATGCTGACTCTGCTTTTGTTGTTGGGTGTCTGGCTACAGCCCCTGGAGATCTGGTGGGTGCTGTAAATCTCACAAGAGGATTATTATGAACCTTGATAATTCATGTAGCTAGAAGCTGTTAATTCCAGGACTCTCTGGTAGTTCCATGGCCATGCATGCTGAGAGTCTGGATCTTATTTTGTGATGTAAAGGTGGGGTTTTCCCACTTGCACCTAATTGTCAGTTTGCATTAACCCACAAGTTATGGAGGAGTCATGCTGGAATCCTTGCGTAAAAGAACAGCCTGGAGCCCAGCTGAGCTGAGTTGACACTTGGTTTTCTGCAGAAGTGGCCTCAGGAAGAAATACAAATTCTTACCTGTTCCTCCTCTTGACGGGCCCGTGGTTGGTGTTTCAAACAGGCTTCTCAAGTAAAGGAGCAGTGACACTGGTGTCTCCACACAAATGAACCGACTTCTCTTGTAGTGATTACACGTGCCAAACATCAGCTTCTGACCTATAAACCATTTCATAAAGATTCTTCTTTTTACAACCCAAGCACAGATAACAATAGTAATCAAGCCACTTTTCACTTGGATTTCCAGCAAGCTGTTGGAAAAACCACAGTTGGCAGATCAGCTGGCAGTAACCTGGATGGACAGGAATAAATACATCCCTGTAAAAGGATGCATGTTTATTTATCTGTCTGTGCATGGAACTTGGATGTTTTGAAATGCATGAAGCGAGTCCTTTTGTGTCACTTGCCAGATTGCCAGTCAGCAGTTTTTGGCTCCCACTAAATACTAAAGAGTAAGATTTTGATTCATGCAGTGTGGCTTACAGCAGTGTCTTCATCAGAGCAGATGGTCTTCCAAGTATTTTTCTGAAGAAGGAAGTTAGAAAATAATAGATTTTTCATTTTCTTAATTGAAAATAGCACAAAATAAACTTTCCAACATGAAAGGGCAGATGATTAACTCTTTGCCTCTGGTTAAGAAAGATAATAAAGGCAGGGAGAGAGGAGGCGTTTTGGCAGTGCTGGGCTACAAAGAGTGATATTTTATTCATGTGTTTTTTTTAAAGTTTTCTGTGCCTTGGGTTTAGTTTCTGTTTCAACACTTCCTTGGTTTGGCCTGACAGGAAGGCAGTAACAGCATCTGTGTGGCACTTGTGCCCTAGAATGGGGTTTTTGCTTCAATTGCAGGTAGGGAACCATTTGCTTTCGTGCTGAAGAGGGGAAAAAACCTGGAGTTTTGCAACTTCTAGCTAGAGCTGGTTACATAATCACATAAAAACTGAACGGAAAGGGAAGCGCTGTGCCCAGAACACTGGTCAGCACCCCTGTTTTGCTTAAAAACCAAGCTTCTGAAGGCAAGTTCAGTCCCTTTGCAGAGCAGGTCTGTGGTGTTTATTGCCAAAGTAGCACTTGACATCCAGACTTAGCAGATGAGATTGTGTCCCTGCTGATTTTGGTAGGTATCTTGTTTAGCTGCAAGGGGCCTTGATTCTCTTCTTCCTGGCACACTTCTGTGTAGTAATTCAGGGCAGCTAATGTATTCAGTAGAAGCTGGCAATCAGTTACATCTACCAGGGAGAAAACAGACTTAAAAAACACTTGGGGGTTGGTCCCTCTTTTCCCCTGAGTTTAGATAGGAGACAAGATCAGACACAAATTCTCAGGAGCTAATAAATATTGCTATTTAAAGGCTTTCCTCATTGATCCCCAACTTTAAATAGCTGCTCAGTAATTGTGCAGGTAGCAGTGTGCCAAATTTTAGGCCTACAGGTTCGGAACAGTGTGAAACTCCTTCAGGAGTTGTGGGTGGGGGGGTTGTAGCAGTCCAAAGAAACTCTCACTCAGTGAAATCTTTGAATCAGAATGTTTATTTACAAACAGAATTTTAAATGAGGGAGCTTGGGTCTAGGAGGAGGTTTCTTGACTGTCCTCAAAGTTTCCCTGGCTAGAGGAGTATTTAATTCAAAGCTTGACACTTGTGTGTTGTTCTGCATCTCCAGAGATATCTGAAGTGCTTTCTGGGTCAGTTCAGTTCAGAAGCTGTGTTAGGCTGGGCTGGTGTTTTCCACTAGAATTGCTGGGAGGCCACGTAATTGAGTTTTTGTAGAATCCTGGAATCTCAGACTGGTTTGGGTTGGAAGGGATGTTAAAGATCAACCAGTTCCAAACCCCCTGCATGGGCTGGAACACCTCCTGCTAGACCAGGTTGCTGAAAGCCCTGAATTTTGATTCTGTTGTGCCCTGGTAGAAGTACAGAGTGGTTTCAAAAAGCTTGTTGTTGTTGTAATTTGGTAGGTTTTTTCCCCCAAAAGATGATCAATTCCCATCTGAAAGCATCAGACTTCTTTGTTTTGCTCTTTACCTCCTCCCAGCTGAAACGACCATGTGATGGTTCTGGGTCTCAGCAGTCCCACTGACAATATTCTACTGACATCCAGGAGACTCAAATAATTTGTTGAAAAAAGGGTCTTTAGACTTCAAGTGTGTATGAGGAGGAATGTGCAGACCTGCTTTACCTAGTAATGGGTTTCAAGTTGTTTCAAAAAGAGGCCTTCAAGAGAAGGATTCTTGTTCATGGTGGGTATTGTATCTGCCTGAGAATGTTGCATAAAGCAGAGGGCAAACTTTGAGGAGAGGATGGATGCTGGAAGGATGTGTGTGTTTTACCACAGGTGGCTTTTTCTAGTGACCAAAGCCACAGAAAGAACTTCCCATGCTCCCCTGTGAAGCACCTGGGCAGTGTTTTAGATAAATCTGTAAAAGACTAGATCAGCCTTGGCCCAATTTGACAGAAAAACAACTTGTTGGAAAGAAAAACCTAATTAAAAAATGACATGCTCTAACCAGTTGCAGAGGTAGGATTTTCAGGGCTGCCAAGATGCATTCTTTGCTCTCAGCAGTGGCTATTCTTAGACTCTGCGGATGAGTTTTGTCAAGGTGCGTTCTCCTTCCACTGATGGTTCTGATTAGCTGCAGTTGGGACATTTCTAGATCTTCAGTGTTTGTACTGCAAAGTTAATTTTCAGGTACACTGTGTAAGTAGGGTCTGGGTTCTCTGGTGGCCTCCACAAAGCTCTGGTGATTGCAGTGGCTTCAGATCTGACCAGCTCTCCTCTGAGACAGCAGTTTAGCAGTACAGAAGTGGCCTTGCCCTCTTTCCTTTATGATTGTCAAAGCAGCAAAAGTGACAGAGGATCCCAAACTGCACCAAAAGTGTACATCTTTCCAATAAACTTGAGGCAGTGCCCTTCTGGTTGCTCAAGGCTTTTTTCCTCCCCCCCTTAAAAGCATGATGTCTGTTTCTTTTTGGGAGATAGTTAATATCACTGATATCACTGTATCATGCTTGTCATTAAGTCATTCTTGTCATGTAGTTTATGTAGTTGAAAATTTTTCTGCCATAGACTATGAGGTGATTCTCTGGTTTCACGTAACTGTGTCACTCATTAGAACCCCAAGTTGAGTTTTGTCTAACTGGAACATTGGTGTTGCTCCCTAGTTGACACTCCAGATCCCTACGTGGAGCTGTTCATCCCGTCTGCTCCAGACTGCAGGAAGAGAACCAAACATTTCAATAACGATGTGAATCCTGTGTGGAACGAGACCTTTGAGTTCATCTTGGACCCCAACCAAGAGAATGTTCTTGAGGTAAATCATGTGAAAGTGGAAGTTGTACCATGTCTGAAAGACAAAAGCAACAGTAGCCTGTACGTGGATGGTATCTGCTGTCTCAAGATTTCAACTTTTTAAAAACCATTAAAGGCTGATTTTTGACTTCAGGTGTGGGCTTAACCAGGAGGTGTTGGATGAAATGTGTGATTCAAGGAGTAGCCTTGAGAGTCACAGTGAGATCTGCCTCTGAGTCATCTCTTGGACTGCTCCTGAGGGCTGGTAGCTTGCTGTTCTTCACATCAGCCACAAATTATGTTCTCCCTGCTTCCTACTCTGATTCAGCTATTATGGACAGTGAGTAGCTGGGGGTAAAGTCAAGTCTGTGCCCATTCTCTGCTTCTCCCTGAGGAGACAGAAAGCAGAAGCATGGTTCTGCTTTCTTCTCTAGGCCTGGAGCCAAGGGTTGGGTAGCCCCCCAGTGCTGTGTTGGGTGCTCTCATTCCATGTGCAGTCTTGTTGTGTTAAATCTTTCCAGGTTGTGTACAGAAGGTGAGTGTAAAGTGTAACTGTTTTATGACTGAGCATAGGAAGCATTTGAGGGTATCTGGAGTCCTTTGTTAGCTTGATGCTTCATAGGGGATGGCCCTAAGGTGAAGCCTTCTGGCCCAAGCTTCCTGAGCTTCAGTTTGATTTGGCCAGCTTTCTGCTGAGCAGTACCCATCATCTCTTGGGGCTAAACTGTTCCAGAGCTGAGCACTGGGTTGGGCTTCCTTCAAGGCTCTCTGCCTTCCTGGGAAACTATGTTCCTGGAGGTTCTACAGCTGGGGGAGGAAGAATCCCTTTACCAGCTCAATGGAGCATGAAGAGCTACCCTCTGCATCCTGCAGAAGAGACACTAATGCCAGGGAATTCTCAGTAACTCATGACAGCTTTGCAGAAAGCAGGTCACCGCTCAGGTGCCACAGTCACCTGTGCTGATTCTTACTCGATGTTTTGGATGTAGACAGGTAAACTGGCCACAGGAAACTTGAGAAAATTGGAAATCTCTAATGTAGTTCTTGCTTTCTAATAACAAATGAGTCAAATAGGTATCAGGAATTAGAGGAGAGGGGTTGTTCTGGCTTGGCTTCTTCATGAGAAAGCATTTGTCAAAGTAGCATGAAGTGAAGAAGAACTTGGGTTCATCAGGCTTTTTGTGTTGCAGTGTGGGAAACACAAATTATTTCAGTTCTGTCTGATAAAGCCTTTGGATTCTAACAGAAGTCTTGGGGCAGAGAATTTTACTTGTCTCCTTGCAGATCCTGTATGTTTTTGAGTTGAGCTGCAGGAGCTACAGCTGGCTCAACAGTTGATCTTCCAAAGATGAGCAGAATAGTAAACTGAGAAATAGCAGTAACAGTTAAAATACAGTTTTACTGGCATTGTGTAAAGATTAGGTCAGGTTCTGCAGGTACACTGGGGCACCTTCCCTAGTAATGCATGGATTTGTTGAGTAATAACGAGTTCTGTCCTAAAATAAGGTTCATCATTTCAAAGGGTTGCTTGTGGCACAGGATGAAGAAGATTCTTAAGAGCTGAGAAGAGGCTGAACCCTGATGTAGCAACTAGTTACTCAGGTTGATTGTATCTTGATTCCCTTTGTTTTACGCAAAGGATATGGTCCAAGCCACAAAGACAGGATATTTTAGAGGTTGCAGTTCCACCAAATGGAACAAAAATCACAAGCCAAATGAGTTTGGAGAACTCACTTAACAGAAACCACGTAAATGGTGATTTGAAATTCTTTCTGAACATCTTACTTGAGAACTTGGGAGGCTGCCACTGAGGAAAAGACTGTTTGGTGGAGACCCACCTGGGCTGGAGCAGAAGCCTGGAACGGTGCTCCGTGGTATCCACACACATCTTGGGATAGGACCACATGTTGAAAAGGTATATGCTCTGACATGGAGAGCATGAGAAGAGACTTGAATTGCTGGCTGGGTACAGAGAAAAGCTTGGTGTAATTTGGAGTGCTGCACCTTCTACCAGATCATTGCTCTAAAAATCCTGGTCTGCAGATACAGGGCTGGGATGTTTAGATTCTGTCTTCATATACATGTTGTTGTTTTGAGTTTTTTTGCCATGCCATGTTTAAAGCTACATTATTTGCTCCACAGATGCTTTACTAGTGGGAAATTTGAAGTAATTCTGTAGTTTAGATGTATGATTTTTAGTTGTTATGTCTGCTTGGAGAGATGGTGAGGTTGACTGATAAAGGTGCTCAGATGGGAAATGTTTTGTAAGTGCAGCTGGATGCCTGGAAGGTGTCACCTACACCATGGGTGAGCTTCATCTGTTCTGAGCAACCTGTCTGTTGGCACTGGGTGCTGGCTGGGCTGGGTTAGGCCTGTTCCTTTGTTACAGTTAGGCATATAGAATTAAAGATTTGTATAAAAATGAACACCCATGTGTCTTTTCTAGGTTACTTTGATGGATGCCAACTACGTTATGGATGAGACTCTTGGCACATCCACCTTTCCTATATCTTCTCTGAAACTGGGCGAGAAGAAGGAGGTCCAGTTAACTTTCAATGATGTAAGTTTCAACATTCTTTTGTGATGATGTTTCACTTTCAATAAAGGCCTGGTTGTAATACAGCCCTAGTTTCATGCAATAATGCATTACTGTAAACACCCTTAAAAAAACCAACAAGAGCAAAGGCCCTTTAACCACATCTCCAAACCAGATGGAGCCAGTTTGACAGGGATTGTCTTCCTGCGCAGTGATTCCTGGAAGTTGTTGTTAATCTGGATGTAATTGAGCATGTTCTGCATGTAATAAAATATCATCACTTATTAGAGCAACATTTTACAGGCTGTTCTGAACATAATTCAATGCTTGTTAGTCATATTCGTCACCCCTGGTTGTCTCTAGATGTATATATTTGAGATGAATTTACTGTATGTAAAAACACTCTGCATGCCTCTGTTGGGCTGTGGTTTGTTACCTGATCAGAGGCCTTGATTTGTGGCTGCTCTGCTGGTTTCCATGTGAAAGAACTTCAAGTGTGGCTACAGCAAGTCACTGGTTAAGGCCTGTTTACTGGGAATTGGAGAGTTTCAGATGTAAGATCTGGCATTTAATTAGACATAACCTTAGGGCAGTTGGAATTTTTATACCCTCAATTATTTATTTATTAAGTTCCTGTTTTTTTTCTTTTTTTTAAGTTTCTGTGTATTTGCTTCACAAAATGTTTTAGTAACTTGGGTATCCAGAGTGTGGGCTGACTGCAGATGTCTGGCTCTGCCAGGCATGAGGTGAGGTAGGGAGGAAGAGCTGATCAACATGTTATGAAGATACAATTTACAAAGCTCTTGCCAGTAATGTAAGGCCTTGCCACCTTACAGACACTTTAACTTCTCATCAGTGCTCAGCAAAGCTTGGTAGAGAACATAGTGGGAAAAAAATTAGTGGAAAAAGCCAAATAGACCCTTGAAGTTGATAAGCAGGTAGGAAGGGATGATCAAGTCAGGCTGAGCCCAGTGTGTGTTCCTGAGCTTTCAGAGGCAGTCTGCATGAGGCGTAGGAAGTGGCACACTGGTTCCCTGTTGGAATGTTGCTCTTCAAGGCTTGATGTAATAAACAATTAGATATATTTTTTTCAGCCATTGGGTCGCTGCCTGCTTTCTGAAGTGCTTTCTAAATTAGGAATTTCAAGTGCTGGGATAATGTAATTGCTACCCTGTCTCTGAAGTATTTCCCTAATTCAGTCTTTGCTCTGTTTCTCCATCTTCTCCAGTTGTTACTTCTTTGCCTTTTCTTTCTCCCCCATTCCTTATCCCCCTTAATGCTCCACCTTATGTACAATTCCCATTCCAGAGGGCTGGAGTTGAGTGCCAGGCTTTACCTGGGCCCTGGGAAGCTGGAAGGAGCTTAGTGCTTCCATATCCTTACCTTCTGGGTGTGTCAGGCAGAGGTTCAGCCCCTGAGGCTTTACAACTGTTTCTAGTGATCACCTCCTATGGATGAGGAGGACAATCCATTCCCAGCTGGAGGCAGAGGGTGCAGGACACTGCTGTGCATCTCAGGGCTGCACCGGTGGCCCTTGGTGTGCAAGACCTCAGGGAAGTGAAAGTGTCTGTCCCTTCTCTTTGGCTTCTGGCAATCTCCTCCCCTTGGGTTTTGCCTAACAAATGCAACTGAGGCTTGGACCAACTTTTTTTAACCTTTTGCCTGCAGGGAACCACTTCAAGTGCCCTGTCAAAGAAGCAGAGGAAATGTGGTCTGCAGGTGAAGTCATTATGTAGTGACACTGATTAGTTCACATCTTTCAGAAACTCCTAAGCAGTCACTGTTGCTGAGGGATAATTGAGTTGTCTTTAACTGTGGAAAGACAGAAAACAGAGCAGCTGGTCCCTTACAAGGCTTTGTTTCAGATACAAGCTGAGTCTGAAGTTTACCCAGGGAGCTGGGAAGCCAGTGGCAGGCAGGCTGTGGCTGGCAGGAGAAACAAAGGGTCATGAAGGTGTGAAGACAACCAGATCCCTTCAGGCCAGAAATGAACAGCAGTGTCAAAAAGGGATTGTCAGTGGAAGAAAGCCAAGGCACTGGGATCCCATGAGTGAAAGGCAGGACCCAGCAGCATTTTCTGCTGTAGTCAGTGCTGGGAGTGTATTTTGGAATCACATATTGTGTGCTTCTAAAAGAAAAAAGGTTCATAGAAAAGAAAATCCTCTGTTTTTCAGAAATGTCCCCCTTTTTAAAAAAAGTTATTAAAAGTAATAGTTGGTTTCTGTTCCAGATGTGTTTGTGGGTTTTTTCCCTTCTATAAGTGGTGTAATCATGTTTAATTATTTCTTGTTTAGGTCACAGAAATGACTTTGGAATTGTCTCTTGAAGTATGGTAAGTGTCTCACTTATTTTTTAAGTGGAAAATGTATTAGCAGCAAAGGGAGTTCTTATTTTATTCTGGTTAGAATTTTCTTAAGGACGCATCAGGTCAAGTATTGTGAAGTCAGGAGGCTTTCAAACTGCAGGTCATTTCCACATTGCAATTCTAACACTGACTGAAACACCATCAGTTGTAGGAAGTGTTTGCAGGAACAAGGCCATCATATGTGATTTCTCCTCCTGAGTTAAGTACTTTCCTTTTCAAGGGCTTTTTCTCTAATAAGTCCCTTGACTCTGGAAACTGACAGACATTCCCCAGAGATAATTTCTTCTTAAAAGGTTTCTTAAAAATCTGAGGAATTATCATCTCTGCTTAAATAGATGCATTTCACCATTGTATGCTTTTCAGAAGGGACTCTTAGAAGTGCTTGTAATTAACATGGCAAAGCATCCACAAACGTTTTCAGCTCATCCTTGTAAATACAGGAATTTGGGTGGGGTGGGTACCAGGACACACCAGTACACTCCTCACTGCTGCTTGCAGGCAGCACTGCTGGGAGGAATTGTACTTCAGACCCTGGGAATGACAGGCTCAGTGAGGTAACTAGTGCACGTGAAGTGACAACTCATATTGTTTATCCTGCCTTGATACCTGAAGGAGGATTATAGAATCCTAGAAAACCAGAATGGTTTGGGTTAGAAGAGACCTTTAAGCTCACCTAGTTCCACCCCTTGCCATGGGCCCAGACACCTCCCACTAGACCAGGTTGCTCCAAGCCCCATCCAGCCTGGCCTTGAACAATTCTAGGAATGGAGCCTCCTCAGCTTCTCTGGGCAGTGTCTCACCATCCTCACAGCAAAGAATTTCTTTGTCATATTTCATCTAAATCTCCCCCTTTCCAATTGAAAGTTGTTCCCTCCCTTGTCCTCTTCCTCCAAGTTGTTGTCAAAGCCCCTCCCCAGCTTTCCTGGAGCCCCTTCAAGCACTGGAAGGTGCTCTAAAGTCTCCGTGGAGCCTTCTCTTCTCCAGGCTGAACAGCCCCAACTCAGCCTGTCTCCAGAGCAGAGCTGATCCAGCCCTTGCAGCATCCCCGTGGCCTCCTCTGGACTCACTTCAAAAGCTCTGTATCCTTCCTGCTTTGGGGGCTCCAGAACTGAACACAGCTCTGCAGATGGGCTTTCATGAGAGCAGAGTAGAGAAGGAGAATCACTTACATTTAAGTACAGTGTTGAGGTCCTTGCGCAGCCCTATGTACGTTTTTGATCACACAAGGTGAGGGAAAAAGCTAGAGAGAAAGGCTTTTTCTTGTGGCCAACTGGTACAGTTTGTGCTATGATCCATGCAGTTTTTGATAGAAAGACTGAATGGGTGCAAAGTCAGCAGTACCCTCCCCTCCCCTAGTGTGAACCTCTGACTTCATAAGAGTCAAGAGGAGTTAGTAGGAGTGTATGAATATTTTCATGGCAGTTTTTTGTTTGGCGACTATGCAGGGAGTTCGGATTTCTGGGCATTTAGAATGGTATGTGAATAATCAAGTTAACGAGGAGTTAGAAGCTGTAAGTTGATGAAGAGTTTGCTTTTCCTTCCTGTCTGTTTCCCTGGGTGGTACCCTAGTTGTGCTCTGATGCCTGTTTGGCCCCACAGCTCCTCGACGGACCTGCGCTTCAGCATGGCCCTGTGTGATGAGGAGAAGCGGTTCCGGCAGCAGCGCAAGGACAACATCATGCGCAGCATGAGGGAGTTCCTGGGAGAGGAGCACAGCAAGAACCTGACCTCTGCCAGGGATGTAAGTTGGGAGACTTCACACCCAGAGCAGGGTCACCCCTGGACTCCCACCTTGGTCTCAAAGGCATGAATGAGGTGTAGGAGGTAGGAGGGTTCGGCATTAAGTCGGATGGCAGAAGCAAGCAAATTTCTTTTTCTTCTAAGCACGTACAGTATTTAAGCCAGAGGAGAACTTGTGCTCTGAGTTTCTAGATGGAGTCAAAATCCTGTGCCAAAATGAAGCTGCACTTAAATAGGATACACCCATTATGTGCAAAAGGGGCAAGACCACGTACATGGACAGAAGTCACAGCTTTTCCTTTTCTCTGGCACCTCCAATGAGCTGCTATGACTTTTATCTGGTTGTTTAGTGTTTTGATCCTTGGCAGGCTTGAGCCTAGGTTAAAACTGGGCAGTGAAGATAAATCCATGCTTTTCATTTCTCTCTGGTTCTTGATTCCATGCTTTGATAAAGTGTTGGTTCTGGGCTGAGATCATCCTTTCAGCAATTAATGGTAAAGCCATATAAATTATTTTCTTTCCTTCCTTCTTTTCTTCTTTTCCTTTAGCCCAGTTTATAGGATTAGGATTGTGAAGTGTATTTCTTAGTGTGCAAAGCTGCAGGTTTCATGGACTGGCTGGTGCTCTGCTCCAAGCCAGCAGATCTAGGTGGACTGATGGGGTCACATCACAGTGAGGAGGGGGCCAGAACCTGCTGATCTGTCCAGCAATTTTGCAAAATGCTGCATCAAGTTAATTAAGGAGCAGCCTGGTCTAGTGGGAGGTGTCCCTGCCCATTCAGGGGGGTTGGAACTAGATGATCTTCAAGGTCCCTTCCAACTCAAACCATTTGGTTATTCTGTAATCCACTTGGTACAGATCCACGTGGTTTGTAATAGCTTTTCTATCCTCCTCTTTCTTCCTTGCTTGTTTCCTGTCACATTCTGCTCCCAGGATTGTGACAGGAAGGCAGTGTGCATGTGGGGGATGTCAAGCCATGAACAGAGTGAGTGAGTTCATCTGGTTCGACTCCTTCTGGGCATTTTCAGGATAAGCAGCACATGCCAGCCTTTTGTGGAAACTGGAAGAAGCACTAAAGAGTTCCTTTTACATTTTTGTCAAGTTCTGAGCCGTTGGTAATTGTGGTAGTGTTGTGTACTGTTGAACTCTGTCTTGCCCAGTAAAATGTGCTTGTGTGAGCTTTCTGAGGAACGTGAAAGAATTTGACAAGCATCGTACAGGTTGTATTTGTAGAGATTTGAATTGTGTGTATTGTGAAGCAACATTTTCAAGGTTTTTTCACTTTTTTGGTTCAGTTCTTTGATTCTTAGCATGTGCAGATCGTATCAGAATAGGTACTTGTGGATGTGACATTGCCCTGATCTTTACAGCAGAATAATACCTGTCTCAGAAAGGCTGCGAATATTCTGCCAAGGTCCAGTTGGTACTGGGGCAAAGCATAGTGCCTGAAGCATCAGTTCTATGCAGGGGTTTGTGTCTGTGAGTCATTGTACACGCTGGGTAAGATTTCATACCTTTTTGTCATCATTTGCCCTTGATATCCCTCATTGTGTCCAGTACTCCAAGTTTATCAGTTGCATCTTCCAACACCACTGATCTCTCATTGTTGGCTTATCCACCCTGGACAGGACTGAGCTAACATGATCCTCCTGTTTTTTCATTTACCAAGTGTGTATTGTTCAGCTGACTTGTCAGAATTTTTAGCTGCTTCTAGCAGTGAAAAAAACCCTTTTTGTTCAAATTAAAATACAGTTTTGCCCTTCCCGCCTGTCATTTTTACTTTTATTGCTACAGATGGGAGATAGTAGGAGGATTTATAGGATGTTTATAGTTGTAACTTTGCATCAGAAGTTGGGAGACATAATGAGTATTCTTAGCTACTCGTGATTCATTGTTTAATCTGAAGTCACTCACTTCCCCAAAGTTCACCTCAGTTTCTTCATGTGTGCACAGCAACACGTGTGCCTTGCAGGGGTGCTGTGAGACTTTAATACCTGTGAAGTAATTATACATCCCTGGATAGTGAAGTGAGCCCTTCCACAGCTCTTTATCTTGAGGCACCTTCTGAGAACACAGATGATGAGATTGCTCGTACCTGTGTTATTGCTCACTCTATTGTTACAATGTTCTTTGGCTTTAACCAGTTCTCTAAAAATGCCATAATCAAGTAAAGAAAGCATACAGTTCTCCAAGACTGGATTTGCAGAACAATTTTTTAATAATCATCTGCGCACCCTGTGGCAGTTCTTTCCACCACAGGTATTCTTGTCCAGATTTTGGGCACTGTGTTTCCAGGGCTTTTGGACAAAAACGTCTGCACTGTTCATTCCCAAAATGAGATTTAATGATTTAGTTATTTTGTTATTGTGGGTTTTTTCCAGATTACTGAAAAATAGGAGATACCATTTTCAAAGCTTTCTTTTCTTAAAACGTACCTCATTTCCCAAATCTTTCTCATTTTCCTGCCCCATCTGGTGATTTTAGCCATCAGCACTTGTTGAGTTGACTCAAGTGGAACTCTGTGGTGCTGAGCTTGTCCACACAATGCAGTGCCCCATGGATCCTAGAAACAGCACAGATGTGTTGACACAACACTTCATCTGCAGTGTTAAATGCTTTCTAGTGGAGTTTGCTTGACTGATATCTCAGGTGGCTTGCTTAAACCTCGCTTAGGTCCCTCGGCATTGTGACCAACCATAGACCAACCACAGCATAAAGCAAACCATGCTTGGCGTGGCCTTTTAGTGGTTCAGAAGTGGGCACAACCACGTAGAGTTGAGTGGGGCAGTGTGGCCAGGGCCTACAGCAGTGGGCTTTTGTCTCCAGGAGTTGGGAATTCAGGTCACATTTCTGCTGTTGACTCATCGCATCTCTTCTGTGTGAATCACCCTTTAGGTTTACTGATCTGCTTGGAGGGGTTGAGTACCTCTGCCCCAGTTTTACTGATGATGTGCAAAGGAGTTGGGGTTCAGAGTGTCTCAAGGGTGGAGGCCCTCAGCCCCAGCCTGTGCAAATGGAGAAGGGACACACCTTGGGGGTCCCTGTCTTCTCTCTGTTCTTAATCAGCTACTGCCCCCCTGCCTCTGCCCTGTCTTAGAGGGCAGCTTGTAAGATGGGTGGATGTAATTTCAAATTTTACCATTTTTTGCCTTAAAGGTGTTGGAAACTAAATTCCAGCTATAGAGCTGCTTTAACAAACCTGCCAGCTTGGAAATGTGCAGTACCTTCCTCTGCAAAGCAGGACAGGACTCCTACCCTGACTTATGCCCACAAGTTGACTTGAATTCAGTTGGCTGAAATAAGCAAAATGAATGTGCAGTAGATGCTTCTCTTCAGGTTTTTTTTTCATCACTTCTTTACTGTGGGAAGTTCACTGAAGCTGCTGCCCTCTGCTCTGGAGCCCTTTAGTTGAGTTCAATTTCTGGAAATGAAGTACTGATTGCATCTGTTCACACTTTGCTTTGGTAGCAAATGGAAATGAGGAGATATTTTACATCCACCCACCTCTCAGTGTATACCCGCCCTCTCCTGCTGGAGGAATCAGTGATTTGCCTGTGGATTCAGTATCCACAAGAAGTGTCTGCAGTCAGGATGTTAGTGACTCCTCTTGACATTCTTTGTTCGTCCTCTCTGCATCCTGCAGAAAACTCACATTTTCCCTTGTGCTTGTGCCATTGCACTGATGAACAGAGCTGTTGAACAGTGCTTTGGAGGTGTTCTCATGTGCTTCTTCCAGGCTTGCACCTGCAAACCACTGTCTTCATCCTGTCGGGATTTGTCTGTGTAGGTTAATTAGGTGGTGTTTGTAAAGAGCTTTCAAAGCCTCACAGACATTATTAAATTAGTGATTAGTAACATGGCTCCTCTGTTCAAAGCAATTGCTCCGTTATTGGGGTGTTGGCTTAACAAAACAGGCACGTCCGAAACCTTTACCTTTGTGTTGTCATTTGTTGATAGATAGCTATCTCTGGAAGGGCATGAGGAATGCTGATGCCAGTAAATACTTGTGGCTTTTATTACTAAAGCTTGACACGAAGATAATGAAAAAAAAACAACCCCTACTGCATCAAGAACAAGCAGTTTTTTGGAGTAGAAGCGTCAAGAAGTGTCTCACCAGACTTGGTCATTGTGCCTGGTCATGTCCGTGTGACTCTGCGCTCTCAGGCCGCAGGGGAGTTTCACAGCTTGGGGGCTGCAGAAAGAAACTCAACTCTGGAGCCACACAATTCTTCCCTTATAGCTAATCCCATCCTTTGGCAACTTCAATTGCCTGTCGGTGGCATTTTTGGTTGATTACGACTATGATCAGATAGGGGCTTTCTGCACAGCTCCAGTTCTTTTTAGGCTTAGTAACAAGCGCTGAGCAGTGGAAAATTATTCTGGGTTACAGAAACTGGGAGCCAGGTGGGGCCTTTGCTGCAACACTCGATTATCTTCCATTTGAATTTCCCCTGTCTCAGAGCTCATCACTGGAGTTGAAGACAGGCGAAGGTGGCATTTAGTGTTTCTGCTTTGTCTACGTCCCTATTTGTGAGGTGACCAGCCTCATCACATTGGAGCAGTGTTATCTCTGAGCCTCCTTTGGCTGTTACCATATTTCAAAAACCCTTTTTATTGCCCTTCACAGTGGTGCTCAGCTTGAACTCCAGCTGAGCTTTCCTGCATTAATTTTCTCCTTACAGTGGTGACCAGCATCTCTGTAGTGTTCCCATGTGTCCTGTACTTGCTTCCAATATCCACATGCTTTCCTTTTCCACCTCAGTTCTAAAAAATCCCCGCTCAGCCAAGCCAGCCTTCTGCCCTGCTTGCTGGACTTCTCACACGTGGGAATTGCCTGCCCTTGAGCTTTTCAGAGGTGGCTTTTGACAAGTGACCAGTGTTTATGGACCTCCATATTTTCAATAGCAGGTTCCCTGGGGACCTCACTAACCAGCTCCCTCAGCAGCCCCAAGTCTGCTCTCTGTATCCAGGGTCAAGGTTTTGCTGACAGTTTTTCTCCTATCTCTAGTTTATTTAGTCTTCTTTCTAGGCCCTTGGAGTACCCATGCAATGGGAAGGAACAGCTTTGAAGTCAGGGCTGAGAAGGCTGGGAAGAAAGGGCACAAGCAGAAAATAAAGTCCCTGTAGATCAGTTTTCACTGTGGTGTCACTGGTAACTGGCTCTGCTTTTACTCACGTGGTTGTCTCCTCTCCTGTAGTTTTCACAGGGTAGTGGTGAATTTGATCCTGTCTTCGTGCTGTGTAGATGTTTTTATTATGAAATGTGTTTTTAAACTCTTAGCCAAAATATTGTCTCCTGTTTCTGCTTAGTAACTTCTACTGCTTTTGGCTCTGGCACAGAGATAGTTGGATTAAAGCTGGTTTTTGGACTGCTTTAAAAATTTGTGGTTTTGTAACTAAATAGTTTATTTAATAACTAAAGTTAATATCCTCTCCCTTTTGGAATGTGGATAAGGACAAATTCTAAAGAGATTCTGAGTATATTTTGATTTAGAAATCTTGCTACGAGTGGTGACTTCTGCAAATAATTCTTCAAATGCCAGGCAATTGGAATTCTAAGTAACAAGGCCTCACAGGAGCAACAGCTTACTAATGCTGAGACCTGGTGTGGCTTCTTCACCCACCCTATGGACTTACTGGTTGTACTGTAAGCCCTGAAGCAGTGCCTCAGATCTGTGTGAGTGGACTGAGCTAGAAATTCTGCTCATCATCTCAGTAGCCAGGGGGCTAAGGAGGATCCTAATGGTGGGACGTCAGAACCTTTGTTCACGTAGGTCCCCATCATTCCATTAGCAAGTCTGTTCATGAAGGTGTTCCTCACTGTTGGTCAGGTGGATTCTTTGTTTTCCCATGGACCATCTTCATCAGCAAGCAAAGACTCATGGTCAGGAAACCAAGACTCTCACCACTGATACCTCCTGAGCCTGACGGCATCTGCTTGGGCCATTCCTCTTCCAGACTGGAAAGATCAAGTCTTCGGGCTCTGGTGCCTTTACCCTTCAGTCTTGCTCAAAAGTATGTCTCATCAGCTCAGGGTGTTGCCTCAGTCACATCTTCCTTCTTCCCTGCATGGGACATAAGCACATTTATATGTTCTATACTGATATATACATTTAGCTTCACATACACCTAGGCATGGCAGGTGCTTTGGTAGCTTTGCTTGCACATCTTGGTTGCTACTGCTCTCCAGGTAGAAGATAAAGAGGTAGCTGGAAGAAGGTCTGCTGCTCTTCTCTCTGAGTTTTCCACCTTGGCTGAACCTCTCCTGCTGCTGGCTGGTTCCTGGCTCCCCTTCCCTGTGATCAGCAGTGCTCTCCTCCAGCAATCCAAAAGTACTGTAGCATTAAAATAGAATAAATCTTAAGTTCCTGTAAAGTAAATGACAGCCCAGAGAACCCAAGGGTGAGAGGTGACTTCACAGGTGGGATTACAGCACTGCTCCATTCTACCTGCAGTGTTCAAAAGCCAAATCTCAAAGTGCTTTTTGAATTGTTTTGCTGTTCCCTTACACACGTACCCCTTGGAGGCTGCAGAACACATTTTTTGGGGTTGTTAGAACTGTTGTGCACAGGTTTGGAAAAGCACAACTGCCTTTTCTGCTGTGGAGATCTCTGGATGGTGACCTGTTTGTTGCAGAAGACTGGTACGTTTAGTCAGGGATTGATGAATAACATTTGTTAACTCATTTCAAGCCTTTATCAGAGTGGCTGTGGTGATCTGCTGCCCTTCTCATCTCTGCAGGTGCCAGTGATAGCAATCTTGGGGTCAGGAGGTGGATTTCGTGCCATGGTGGGGTTTGCTGGAGTCATGAAAGCACTTTATGAATCTGGAATTCTAGACTGTGCCACTTACATTGCTGGTCTCTCAGGATCCACATGGTAAGCCTTTTGTCTCTTCTTTTCCTTCATTTTTCCTTCAGGAAGTTCAAGACTGAATTTTTATGAGTTGACTTCTTTCTAAGGTAATCATTCACAGCAGATATTACGCATACTCTGCCAGCACAGAGGGGACACAGGGAGGGAGAGCTCTTGCAGCCTAGCAAGTGTAGCAAGTCTGCTGGGGGGCTTCTCAAAGGGTGAGGACACCAGGTGATCTTCCTAGGAGCCTTGATAGCAGGAATAGATGGGAAGAGGTGCTACACATATACACCCTTGTTTCTGTATCAACAGCCAATTCTGTGTGTACTGTGTAACTGCTTCTTTCATCTTGATAAACAAAAAATGAGGAATTCAAGCTGTTGGTATAAATTCAAAACATTATTTGTGCTGTTTTATTTTCCTGATAAAATGGGGGAAGAAAACAGTAAAAAAAAAAACCCAATTCCTTGCAATTTGATTCATTCAACCCAAAATGAATTGCATACTTCTGGGGCATGTTTCAGAGAGTCTCAAAAATTCACTGCAGGATCTTTTGCTCTATTCTAGACTTTAAGTGGATTTACTGGGGATGTCCAGGACCTGTTCACTAGTCCTTTCTCAGCATAAGGAGAATTGAGCGGCTGCATTTCAACTTGTAGGAAAGAATACCTGCTACACTGCAGGGCAGAGGGCTCTGGATTGCCACTGTGTTTCACTTGGAAACTTCCTGGGGCTTTAAAATAGTTTGTTAGTCAGATGGGAGGAAAGATTTCCCAGAAGTCTCAATTAGTGTGCCCTAATCAGGTAGTTGTGATGTCCTCCTGCCTGTCTCAGTGAATTCCTCAGCCCATTAGCAGGAGCAGCATCACCAGGAGAAAAGCAGCATGACATCACTGTGTCCTGAACTCAGGGACTGGAGGCAGCAGAATGCTTTGAACTCCAGAACTTTGGCTGCCTCCAGCACTCCTCTGAATGAGAGTTTCTCTTCTCCCTGCCTGGTGCCGTGAACCTCCTGCCTTTTGTCGTCTTGGCTTTTATAAAAATTCTCTAAAATTGCACTTATTACAAATGGTGAAGCTATTTGTTTTGACGTTTCTTAAGTGAAGTGATGTAACATACTTGAAAGCTGTGTCATTTTCATCAGCCTGAGGCATCTGACAAATTTAATATGAATTTCTTAACCGTTTGGATCCTCAACAATGGATTTTTATTTTTTTTCATTAAGTGAAAAATTGCAGACTTGTTTTGGTCTATCTTTAAACCTTGGTTTTAATTTCAGTGGATCAGGTTGCAGGAGAGGATGTTCCATCTTGGGAAAATTTGGAACTTCTATCCCAAATGTCACAACATTTTATTTTGTCATAAACAGGTTTTTGTAATGTACCAATTTGAATGCTGGAGCTGCATCTGAGTCTGGTTTAGGGCTACCCAGTATAAGGAAGATGCTGACAGATTGGTTTAATTCCTTCAGGTACCACTGAGAAAATTTGGGGACTGGGGCATGTGAGACAACGAGGCAGCTGGGTTTGCTTGGCCTCATGGAACACCCACAGGTAGTGGTGGGGAGAGACCTCACTGTTACCTAAGGAAAGAGACTCTTTTGAAATGTAGACAGAGAGCACAAGGGGTGGTGGCCATAAGTTACAGCAAGAGAAACTTGGTTAGTGACTATGAAAATTACTGTTCAGTGAGAGTGGTCAAGTAGTGGAATGAGTGGCTGCATCCTTACTTGGCTGGGCTAGGTGAGGTGTCATCCTCTGGCTGACTCAGTGGATGCTTCATGTGAAAGTAGAACTTGACTGAACAAAGAGCCCTGAGCAACCTGAGCTGACTTCTGAGTTGGCTCTGCCTTGAGCAGGAGATTGGAAGAGAGAGCTTGAGGTTCCTTCCTGTCATGAGGATTATGTGATTTCTTATTTCTTTGAGAGCTAAGGGAAAAATACTTTTGTTGGAACAGCTAAATGTAAATGAGTGAAGAATCTGCCTGGGATGACTTTTATCCCCTGGTTTAACTCTAAGGAAGCACATGAATTTTGGTTGTGTTCTAAGAAATTTTCTAACCCCAAAGTTTTGAAGTCTTAGAAATAAATAATGGTATTCCTTCTGTCGTTCTTTCAATCACTTGAAATCACTTGTGAAATCTGTGTGAGAATAGCAAGATTATCTGAACTGAGTCCATCAGGAACATGTGTTGGAAACAGTTGTCTTTGAACAAATTTGCTTTTGCTGTCTTGGTGATGTCACCCATAAAGACTTTCCTTGCTTGATGAATAATTAAACAGGCACTTTGGCACTCCCTTTCTTTTCTCTTTTTCCATGCAGTCTGTTACTTGGCAATAACTTTTCTTTTCTTCTTCCCAAAGGGTGGCGAATTCCTTGCCTGGAGGGAGAGGCAAGTTTTTGCTTGTTCCCTCAGCTGCATGTCTTAACCTTGGAGCAATGCACTTACCTCCCTGGCTGCTTCTGTCATCTCTTCAACCTTGTCCTGAATTCTTCCTGCTGCACTTTCCTTTCCTGCTCCCATGGAAGCTGGCTGCTGGCTTTGTCCCACCCACCAGCTGACACGTGTGCTGAAGGTTTTGAGGCTGCACAAGGACTCAGGGATCAGTTCCTGCCTCATGCCCAGGACAGGGTCCATCAGGCTGCTGGGCAGTGAGCTCAGGGCCAGGTGTCCCCAGCGTGTCCCTCCCTGGGTACAGAGCTGTGCCTGCAGTGTGGTACGTACACCTTGACCAGCCCATGGTGTCCATCAGGGAAACCAGCCCCTGGAGATGTGGGCGGCCGATCCCCAGCCTCTACCCAGAGTGTTGCTTAAGCCAACAAAGAGCAAACCACAGTTGTCTGTGTGCGTCTCCAAGCTTTGTTTTGAGTAAACAAAACTTCTGTTTCCAGAGTTACTCCAGGACTACATTAAGACCTGCCCCATAGCCTCTTCTGAATCCTCAGGGTCAATTAAATCAAATTAAATCTCTGCCCAGGTTGTAGTTATTGTGCTCCATCATATTATGAAAACATTTATGTCCTGGAAAGCTTGCCACATCCTGGTATGTGTTGGGAATTGTGAAATAGTGGTACTGAGCTGGAGATTGACAGAGAGGTGCACCTTAGAGTGAAGGACCTGCACCTGTGGACTTACAGAACCTCCAGCCTGCCAAATTTAGCTGTGCTGTGACAACTCCAGAAGCTGTTATGATAGTTCTGTCCATTATCCCTTACAAGACAGATGAGGAACACTGTCATCTTTTACATCACACACACTAGGCAAGGATATGTTGAGTGTCTGACTGTTCTTACATCTAGAACAAACTGTTTAGTTTCCTATGCCTTGAGAAAAGAGAAATGACAATTTACTTTAGAAACAGTGAGTAAATGGATTTAATCAGTAATTGTCTCAAATTATTAATGAGCTTATTGTACTTTTCAGGCAGCTGACATGGAGCCAGGCATTGATTCTTACAGAGCCTATTTTCCATTGCAGGTACATGTCAACTTTGTATTCACACCCAGATTTTCCAGAAAAAGGACCCAAAGAGATTAATGAAGAATTGATGAACTCTGTGAGTCACAACCCACTTCTGCTGCTCACTCCTCAGAAAGTCAAACGCTACATTGAAGCACTGTGGAACAAGAAAAGCTCAGGCCAGCCTGTCACCTTCACAGATATCTTTGGAATGCTAATAGGTGAAACACTTATCCATAATGTGAGTTAATTTTTAATGGTAATTATTTTTGTGAAAGTGCTGCGTAGTAACTGCTGTCACTGGTGTTTTGAACTGACCTTGGTAACATTGACCAAAGCAAGTTCAGCAACAGGAATATTTTGAAGTTATAGTGAAATCTTGGGACATGCTTCTGAATGGTATCAATGTCTTGAAGAGGTAGGAAAATGTCATGTGTTCATGTGCAACAGAGAAACTCCACTGCTGGGTGCCGTTGCCCTGGGGGGCAGCCTCTAAAACTACTGCTCAGGCAATTTCCACAAAAAATTACAAAATGGTGTAACCTTTTTAATGCACCTTTTGCTAGAAGAAAAGCAGAATTTTCATAGCAAAATACTGATTTCAGGGCAAAAGATCCACATCTCTTTTTATTAGTACTTGTTTTTTTGACAAAAGAGACAAGAGGAGGGCTTCATCCTGTTGTGTTTCATTCCTGACAAATCCCAATTGCCTGAATCAGGCACACAGGCTTGGAGTTCAGGTGAGTCAGGTGAGCAGAATTTGGGTTTGATCTTATCAGAAGATGGAAATGTGTGAATAGATTGGCAGACTCGTTCTGTGCACCTGTATCTTTCGTGAGTCCACATTGCCAGTGGGTTTTAAGCAGGCAATGCAGGTGTCATGATGTCACCATGACTTGAAGTCTGTCTTGCCTGTAGATTCCAGAACATTTTCTGGGGCAGATGCAGCTCCTTGGTCAGCAAACATAAGCCTCTTAGTAGTCTGTTTGTTTTTCTTGGTTATCTTTGCTGACTTTTCAGAGTCACAGATTAAAAAACATTATGTGATCGTTAATGGCAGCTCTACCCATGACATTTTTTCTGGGTTTTGTCTTGTATGGCAGCAGAAGGGGAAAAAACTGCAGCCCACACAATTCTGGGATTCTATAGCTTGCTTTGTCCAGCAACACTGTTTTCTTTTTAGCCATGATATTTTGGATTCTATAAACCATGCTTATTTTATCTACCTGTCATGTCTTCTCCCACTCCTTCCTTCCTGGACTGTGTGGTTAGAAATCATCCTAGCAGATCATTGCATTTACAGATTCCTCTGTTCTGTTTTTCTTGGAAATAACTCAGTTTGTCCATTTATCCTTCTCTGAGGATTTCAGAGCAGCGAGTAGTATCCCAAAGCTGTTGGGAGATTTATTTGAACATAATGTCTGTCTTTGTGCAGAGAATGGACACTACTCTGAGCAACATGAAAGAGAAAATCAATGATGCACAGTGTGCTCTCCCACTCTTCACGTGTCTCCATGTCAAACCAGATGTCTCGGAGCTGATGTTTGCAGGTGTGTTTTCCATTATTGAGCTCCTTTTGAAAAGAAGAGAGAAGTACATGAATGAAAAAAAACCCATTTTTAATACTCCTGTGAATAATTGTATCCTGCAACTTGGTATGGTTTGAAAATATTAGTCTTGTGGCAAGGATTAGGAAGGAATTTGCTGTGATGGGGAAACATTCTTGAGGGCTTAACAAAATTTGCTTTGTTACAAACTGAGCACGGGGAGGTTTTAATTTATAAAAACAATGGGAAGTTGCTTTGCTGAAGGATATACCAAATGGGTACATCATGAGGACAGATCTGCAGGGGTTTAAAAAGTGACAAGGGAATGGACATGTTTGCGTCCAGTGGCTTCTGAGAGCATGACAGTAGAGTCTGATAACAAGAAGTTGCTCAGAGGTAAGTTTTCATGTACTTAGCCAGGTGAACACTTACTCAATGGGTGCAGTATTTGTTCCGACGTTACAGGGTGTGGAGAGCAGGCATCAAATGAACATGTTCCTTTTGGCATTCCATGGAACTGAGCCTTTTCTTGGCTTTCAAGATTCACCTTTTCCTATCCATAGTAAGATAGACTGTATTTTTGCAGAATCAGGGAATCATTAAGGTTGGAAAAAACCTCCAAGGTCATCAAATCCAACCATCAACCCAACACCCGCATGCCCACTAAACCATGTTCCCTCAGTGCTACATCCACATGTTTTTTGAACCCCTCCAGGGATGGTGTCTCCACCACAGCCCCAGGCAGCCTGCACCAATGTCTGAAGGTTATTTCAGTCAATAAATAGTTCATAATATCCAGTCTGAATCTCCTTGGGAGCAACTTGAGGCTGTTCCCTCTTGTAGTCAGGTCAAGCTGCCCTTTCCTGCGAGGACTTGCTGTGAAATACCTCCCTGTGCTGTGGAACCTGTGCCCCCCAGGACCTTCTGCCTCAGAAGGGCCCTCTCCAGGCTGTCCCCGCAGCTGAGGGGGCTGAGGGGTTCTGGGGAGACTGCCGAGGTGCCCTGAGGGAGCCCAAGGGGTTCTGAGGGGCCTGAGGTGCCACAAAACAGCTGCCCTCACCCTGCTGGTCAGTGGCCTTTTGTTTCTCTAGGCTTTGTGGGGGGTTTTGTCCAAGTTTTGTTCTCTGTGTGTTACCAAAAAATAATTTTAAAAGAATATTGCTTATCTGTGAAGAAGCTAAGAAGGTTGTAGGGCTGGAGACAAGAAGAAAGCTGGTGTTTCTCCAGCTGCAGAAAGCTGCTTCATGTGTTGAACAGGTAAAGGAAAATGTCTTCAGTCATACAGGGAGATTCCCCTTTCCAAGAAGAGGGAAATTTAGAATTGAGCAGACAGATCTACTACTTTTTTTTTCCCTTTTATTTCCTGCACAGTGTAAATTGCTGTTGGTGACACAAAAGGGGCTTTTCCTTTTATTTGTTCTGTAGGTTTTAATTGAGTCCAGTAGTGTCAATTGAGAGTGGGTCCAGTTGAGCTAGATGCTGTACAAAGAGAAGTGTATAATATATATATATATATAGTTTTATACAAGACTGAGAATGCAAAGTCCCAAGTGGTTTGCCCAAAGTTCCTCAGGCAGGCACTGTATCCACGTTTCCAAAAAAAATTGCTTGGAAAAGTTACTGTCAAAACTTTGTAATGGAAAATGAGAAATGGAAAGACCTGCAGAGCTATCCTTGATGTGGAATACATAGTAAGCTTTGAACAGAAATATTTACACTTTATTTCTTCCTAGATCATAGGTGCAGGTGAGATCTTGCATGTTGTTTCCAGTTGAAATGCAGTAGTTGTATCAGATAAGATTCTTTCTGGGAGTGATGGTGCAAGATTTCCTGCAGCTGCTCATAGGTGCCTTGCCCCAAGCTCTGCATGTTTTCCCTCCCACTGGCATTTCTGACCCAGGTGGTGCTGGCTGTACCCAAAACTGCAGTAATCATTTCAACAGAACAGTATTGCCATGGTTAGTTAGAGACAAAGGTTTAAAAATTATTTCTTTTAATGACTGCAGCTTCTTTAACGGCGAGGAATTAGCACAGCCAGGGAACTAGCCTGGTTTACTGGATAGAAACACGAAGTATTTCCTTTGGGATAAAGTTCTTGTCTCCTGGGATGTTCAAGTCCTACTCGTTTAAATGGCCACTGTCTTAAGGAGCTCCTGGATTGGCAGAAGCTGATGCTGAAGCCATTTCATTTTAACGCAAAAATCTTATTTCCTGAAGCAGGATACATGATTTGGGAAATCATCCTCTTCAGTGCAAACACAAACATGGAAGCGGATTATCCCAGATTACATGAGTTATATTTCTAAATCCACTTTTACTGCCAACATGGTTCTGAAATGCATATCTGCCAATTCCTGTTTAGACATCTAAAGGGAAATGCCATTCAATTCCTGGATTGGGTTGCAAGGAGTTTCCTTCTGTTCCAATAAATGTGAAAATTTGTGGGTGGTTTATTTGGGAAAATAGGATGTTTTCTTTGACTTAGCAGAGATAAGGATTGCCCCATGAAGCAAACAGTCTCGGCAGTCATGATTAGATCTTTCCTTTTCAGGATGAATGGTTGACCTTATGCTTAACATGTCAACAGAAACACTGAGTATCTTGAGGAGTGGATGGCACCCTGTGACTTGAGGGGATTTTTCCAAACCGTTTCTGTTTCAGAATTATTTATAATTTGTTCACAGAAACAGTCTAATCAACAGCTACTAAAATGTGGGAGATAGATGAATGGGAGAAATGCTAAAAATGTAGGGTATTTTTTCTTTGTTATTGCTCCCTTTTTGGAATGAATTATCTGATGTAAGCACTGGTATCAAAGAGAATATTTCAAAGTAAGAAATGCATTCTCAAAAAAGGCTTACATCATATACTGGCAACAGCTTCTGAAGCTTTCTGCTAAGACCAGAAAGTGCATTTGAACCCTCAATAAAATGGCACGTATTTTGGATTGTCTGGTGTTAATAAGTTCCTCAGCTGCCTCTCAGTTTTGCCTTTTCTTACTGGATTTCACTAGAAACATCTGGTTCTGCTGGAATCCAAATGCCTTTTCAAGAATCTTTCACAACTTCTGTGATATTGAATTAGTTGTTCTGTCTTTGTCACTGTCCTCCACATTTTCCATAGAGTCACAGTGACATCAGGAAACCATCTTGGAACTGAAGAGTCACATTGCATTTCATGTGATAGGGAATCCTGTTGAATCATGGGATGAAAACCAGATGTTGTTTTGTTTTTCTTGTTCAAAATGGCTGCTTTTATTCCTCTGTTTTTACAGCCTCATATTTTTCACCCAAGTTTGTTGTGGTAAGAGAGAATGAGAACTCCTTTGCTGGGACATGAGACTGTCCTTCATTTGAAATCACAGTGTTGCCTTTTGCACAACCTAAGAGATATCCTTGTTGCTCATTTAGCTTCCCATTTAAGTAGAACTTCTTTGCTTGGTCAAAGGTTTCATTTATTCATGTGTGTTCATCCTCTGCTTCTCTTCAGGGTGAGACTGCTAACTCAGCTCACTTTTGGTGTCTGTTTTGCAGACTGGGTGGAGTTCAGTCCATATGAGATTGGCATGGCCAAGTATGGTACTTTTATGTCTCCGGATTTGTTTGGAAGCAAATTTTTTATGGGCACAGTGGTGAAGAAGTATAATGAAAACCCCTTGCATTTCCTGATGGGTGAGTATGTGGCAGAAAGACCTGAAAATAAACCTAATTTCAGTAGCTCGTGGACAAGGGCTTTTAAATGAAATCACGCCGAGTGTGAGGCAAGAAGTGGAGCTCTCCATTTGTTGGGAGACATGCAGTTGAAAGGTCTCACAGGCCTGGATTGGCATTCCCTGTTTTCTTGTTTCTCGTGTGTACATCTGAACTTATGATTTGGCACAGACGTGTTCAGAGAGCCAGCAACTGCTTAAATACTGCAGTGTGGGGTTGGTTTTTTTTTCTTCTACCAGCCTCCATTCCTTGTTTCCTTTTTCCCTTTCAGGTGTCTGGGGAAGTGCATTTTCTATATTGTTTAACAGAGTGCTTGGTGTCTCCAATTCTCAAAACAAAGGTCCCACCATGGAAGAAGAATTAGGTAATGTCAGTAAATAAGTCTTTTCCTAAGCATAACAATTACGAGCAAGATTCAGTGCCCTCTGACTGCATTTTAGGGATGTGGAATTCAAGTAACTGTAATTGTTGACCTTGCAAGACACTGAGGCCAGGGAAAGTTTTTTCATATTTATAAACATTTTATTTATTTTATTTTTATTATTTTATTTTATATATTTATTTTTTATTTTATTTTTAAATTTTTAATTAATTTTATTTAAACTGAAAATTGCATGCATATATCCAACTATTTTCATGGAGTTAGCCTCCCTTTTTGATGTTGTTAGCTAGTTTTGGGAGATCAGAAGCTGACAAATAATTGCTAGTTCATAGCGTATTCCCTTGACACAGGGCTGCAGTATTCAAGGGTTAGTAAAGTAAAAGCCACTTTTATCATCTCTGGGTTGGGAAGTTGTTCCATTCTGACCACAGGTGACCTGTTGGTATCTGATCTTTTGCTTATTAAATGATCTTGTCTTCATTCCTAATGCACAAATGGCAAAATGACCAGAAGTAGAGACTTGTAGCATGGTTGGGTTAGACTTGGTTGTGTTTTATTTCAGAATGCAGTTGATGATGAAAGGTTTTTTTAATTCTTGTTTTTCCTGTTTAGAAGATGCCATTACTGGGAATTAGATAGCTACTAAATAAATTATACTAGACAGTCAGATTTTTCTGAAGAGCCAGGAGAGAAAATACAGAATTGATTTTAAAAATAAATAAAAAAATAAAATTTGCTTTTTAAGATGTTAAGAGACAGAATTTTATCTCTTCTCTGTGGTTCATTCCATATAAAATTTAAAAATATGCTTTGAAGTGGGATTAGATGTGAAAATACTGGTGTGGCTTGAACCATAGGTGCTGTAGAAGTCCCAAGGAAACTGTGATACCACCAAAATGAATGGCAAAATGCCAGTGGACATCCGAAGAGCCAGCCTGCACACAGCATGTTTAAATCCCAGCTAGAAGCAGTAAATAATCAGTTTTCCGTGGAGGTTGCTTGAAGGGAGATGATTTGATGTCCAAAAATTCCATTTGTTTGTTTTTTTTAGCTTCCTTGTTCAGTCACTGATTTTATTTTGACCTGTCTCCAATGTCGTCACTCAGGAATTTCTCCATATTTGTCTTGGGTGCATGTTTGTCCATTGTCAGTGTCTGAGAAGTGATTGAGGGCCCACTGAGTATTAAAAAGCAGTTAAGGAAAAATGACTAAGCCCTTCTCTTTCTCTGGTGAATTTTTACAGTGTGTTGGAGGTAAGTCTAGGAGTGCACAATCTTTTGGAGAAAAAAGGGCGACGGTGGTACTGATCTGTCTCCAGAATTCATGAGAGATGATTCCCAGTGTACATTACACTAGGGAGTAAAGGGGTTTATTTTTCAGAGGTCTTCTCTTGGATGCTGTTGCATCACTTGGCTTCAGTCTCTGTAGGATGGAAGCTTCCAAGATGAGGCTGCTCATAAAACATTGCAGGTCTCCTGTGTTTCAGGAAAGGTTTCCCAACAGAATTAGCCAAAGCGATGCTGCTAGCCTGTCATCTGTTTTCCCATGAATTCATCTCCTCCTTACCTGAGGTGTGGGATATGTTGCTTTTCAGATCCCCTTTTGACTCTGAAGTAGTTTCCTGAGATACCAGTGAACAGTTAACAATGACTTTGTGGCAATTTTGGAATCAAAGCCCATTAACCCTAAGGCAATGCAGATTTTTGCTGGAGAGCTTCCTTCATTTCTGCTTTCATTTCTCTCACTGCTTGATGATGAAAACCATTGCCTTCTCTACCCATGCAGCTGCACGAGCCTGTATTTTTCACACATACTGCAGCAGAACTTCCATAACCATCTTGGCTTTTGTTTTCCCCCCACTATTTCTGGGGGCTCCCATTAATGTATGCAGGAATGAGGTCAAGCATTCTTCTTTTTAAAAAAAACAGGAGGTAACTAACAAATCAGCATTCTCCCCCTAGTTTACTAGGAGTTATTGAGAAGACAGGAGCCATACATCTAAATTGTAATCAAGGTGAAGGGGTCAGATAGATGGTGCAGAGGCAACGGGTAGGTACTACTTTAGAATTACATTTTGTTTTTTCAGCCCTCTGGCTAATCTGCTGAGTGCAGGAGCTTTGCCAAAATTGCTAAAGCAGAAACATTCTGATCAGATTCTGAGCATAGAGATGTCCACAGCAGATCAAATTTCTTCAGCTGTATTTTTCTCTTCTGAGTGCTGTGATAGCTTTATGACTCAGGTTGTTTTGACATTCTCGGCTGTTCTGACAATTAAACCTCAAATTTCTTTCAACAGAAAATATTAGGCTAAAGCACCTTGTAAGCAATGACAGTTCAGACAGCGAAGATGAATCCCAGCATCCAAAAGGTAAGGAAATCCTCACATCTTATTTCATAGGTTACTTTTTTCACCAGCTTCCATCGTGAGGTTTGTGGGCATTGGTAATTAGCCATAGCCAGTTAACCTGTCTTGCCAGCAGTCTTGTAACTGAGAGCTCTGCTCTTACTTATACTGATGATAAAACTTAATTGCCTAATCCAAGGATCCTCTGGAACCAGTGGCTCAGTGAGGAAATGGTGAACAAGAGACCTCAGGAGGGCCTTTGGCTTGGCTTCATGTCTCCTGCTCAAGCTGATAGTCAAAAAGTCCCCTCACACATCTTCAGTTTGCCCTCAGCCCAGCAGGGCTTCACAGGGCTCTGCAGTTGTGCAAACACCCAGGAAGGACTCTTGTTGAGCCAGTGATCTCCAGAAGCCTGGTGCCAGCAAGCTGCTGAGCTCAGGGGCATGTCTGAATTGTGTCCAGCCTAGCAAACCAAAATTATCGATTGTTTTCTAGGGTTTAGTTTGTGTTCCCAGCTCTTTGTAACTTCAGGATATACAGAAAGGAAAGAGAATCTTGTGCAGTGAGACAGTGAGTGATGTCATTAGCTCAGCTGATTGCTTCTTCAGTTCCCTTGATGTGTAAAATAATAGAGGAGAGAGTGACACCAGATGTAGTGTTTGTTTTCCAGATTTCCTGTTTAAGCACCACAGCCAGCACAGAACAGTGCATTTCTGTCATACTTTGTAGCCATAGTGACTGGTAAACACTTGGTAATCCCTCTGACTTCTATAGAATAATGTGCAGATGTGGGACCTCCAAACGTTAGGAGAGTTTGATGCTTGTTTTCTCTGCACTTATATAAAAATCAGCTTCTCTGAAGCCTGAGTTAAGGAGGCACATTTCTGTGCTGGAGTTAAAAGTATCAAGCCTGAGCCTGAGTTACCTCCTTACACAAAACACTCCAGCAAGTCAAGTGTGGACAGTTGATGAATAAAAGGTGATGTCAGTCAGAGTAATTTTTGTTACATTTACCTGTAGACATTTAAGTCTGGACATTTCATTGTACTCTCTAAAACTAACTACAACCAGATACTGATTGTAGTAAAGAGTTTCCTGAAAGGATATTTTCAGGCATTCTACAGTTCCCATGTCCTAGCATTCTCTTCTGTGCAGACTAACTTTGGCTTCTTAAAGAAAGCTGGGTTTGTAGCCACCAGCAGAGGATGGACACATCCAGATGAATTTAGTTCTACACAGAACACATACTGAAGAACTGAGGATTGAGGTCTGTCTCCTGAGCCTGGGACAGTTTGCATTTGGGGTGCTGGCACAGATAAAGCCATATCCTTGTTTCCCTTGCCATCCCAGCTGAGCCCACTCAAGTCATCTAACACATTTCCAATGTATTTTCCTGGTGGACACATTCACATTACTGTACTGCAGACTGAAAGTTTCACTGGCCTGTGAAATTAGAAGGACTGTTTCTCTCCACTCATCTGAAATCCTTGCAGCAAAGTTCCTTTGTTGGGTCCAAGGCACCTTGAAAGAAGGCTGGGACCCAGTTCCTTTCCTTTGATAGACCCCAAAATGTGTAAGTTAACTGCTTTAGATGTTAATTGTCCTACCATTGCTGGCTTCCACTTTCTTCTGCAGGCACTGAAAACGCCAAGGCCAGCCAAGAGTACCAGAGCAGCAGCCAGGAGAGCTGGGTGCAGCGCATGCTGATGGCTCTGGTGGGGGACAGTGCCCTTTTCAACACCCGGGAGGGCCGTGCTGGCAAAGTGCACAACTTCATGCTGGGCCTGAACCTCAATACCTGCTACCCACTCTCTCCTCTGGCAAACCTGCTCACCCAGGAGTCCGTTGAGGAGGACGAGCTTGATGCAGCCGTGGCAGGTCAGTGGGCAGGCTGGAGTGGTGGTCAGCAGAGGGTAGGAGCTGACTGGGTGTCAGAGGGGGCACCACGCAGTGACTTCTGTCTGCTGCCTGCCTGCCATGTCCCCAGCAGAGCTTGCAGAGCAGTCGGGACCTTCTGGAGGGGAAGTGACTCTTTGTTTTGAAGGAATTGCTGGAGAGGTGACCAAGCTGCTCTTGTGTATGGTGCCCTTCTTTGTGCCCACTTCCTTACTCTCTTGGGCTTCTCCAAAGGGTGTCCTGTGGTGTTCCTTTTCTCTTATCAGTCTGATGGAAATCAAACTTCTCCTCCCTTCAGGGTTTCCCCTTACCAAAAATTTTGTAGCTCTTCTGCTGTCTCTGTCTCCTTCTGAAGAACTTGTGGAGGCAACACACTTCTTCACTTACAGATCCCTGCTTTGCTAACACCTCCCCACAGTGAGGGATCTGTTGGGTGCATTCCCATTTCAGGTGTGACTGTGGGGCAGGTGCATCCAGGTGGGATGGTGGCATAAGCAGGAATCATGAATCATAGAATTGTGAAGGTTGGAAGGGACCTTAAAGATCATCTAATTCCAACCCCCTGCTATGAGCAGGGACCCCTACCACTAGACCAGGAATGTGGATGGAAAATTAGGATGTGAGAACAATGGTAATTTGTGAAAGGATTTCAATGTCTTCCCTCAGTCCATGAAGCATAAGGTGCCAGGAACAGTAGCTGCAGAGAATTAGGAGTCATGTTTGATTAACACTTTGGAGATTTGCTATGGGCAGTGCTCAGGGAGCACCAATGACTGTCTTCATGCTCTGGCCCCAGTGCTCTTTTTTTAATCACTTGGTGTGTGACAGCTCTGAGATAAGGATGTGAGTTTCCCTGCATAAAAATTACGCCACAGTTAAGCTGATACCTGCTGGAGCCTCCCTATGATTCAAACTCTAATGCCTCTGGATTAGTACGGATTATGACTGACATCCATCGAGCTGAGGGAACCGCAAATCCCTGGAAGTGATGTTCCTGCCATGTTTCAGTGTGGTGGCACAGCACTGCCAGCCATCCCACCTAACAATAGTAGTCACTTCAGCCCTGATGGTCCCTTCAGAGGACAGAGATTATTGTCCTAGCTGGTCATTATGCAATCGTAAATACCAGATGTCATTTAAAAGCTTAAGTAGCTCCAGTGGGGATTTGTTAATGTAACAAATCCCTTGGAGTGGTTGCATAGTAATTTCCAGCTGTACTCCACTTTCTAAATATTTTTATCATCCCAGAGGTGTTTACAGCTGGGTAATCTTAATATTTATAGTAGTTGTAAAGGAGGCAGGGAAGCGGGTAGTGAATTTATGCTTGGAAAAAATGATGGCTGATGATAATTTTGCATAATTAAGACGTGGATAATCTTCAGAATCAACTCTCAACTTCCGAGGTTTTAATTTCAATTGAAAGAAAATGCTGGTTTGACAGAATGAGCCTGCACCTCTGAGGCAGTTACGTTGGAGTGCCTGCAATTTCTGTGGGTAAAACATCTGGCAAAACTTCGACGTAACTGCAGGTTTTTTCAGTGCTAGCTTGAAGCCCACATTCACAAACCTGAACTGACAACTGAAGTCTAACAGCAGTTGCAATATTATAGTCAAGAATGGGTAAAAAACCCTTGAAATGTCAGCAGTTACATAAATCTATAATAATTGTAATTTGTTTATACAAATTTTATATCTAAAATTTAATCATTCAGTGGTGTGATAAATGTACCCACATTTTAATGCTGTGAGTTTTGCTAATATGTGCAAGGGCCTAGGAGCCCAGAGGGGCAGATAGAAAGGTGTAAATTTAAAATATTGTATATTACTGAGGAACTGGATACGTTTAAGCTTTGGATATTTATTGCTAGTACCATCAGCTGAGCTGTCAGCACGGAGAGGAGTCTGAATTGCCGCAGGACGCACTTTCTCTTAGTTACCAAACACTCCAAAGGAGAGAGAAATTAATCAAAAAGGGTGTAAATAACAGTTGCCTCAGACTTTGCAGTGAGGGGCACTGCAGAGGCTGAGCTGTGGCAGGCCTAGGCTGATGCTCCAGCTGTTACTGAGGACTGGGGTCTGCAGTGCACACAGCAGACCTGATCCCAAAGGAAAATGCTTGGCTTTGCTGCACGTTCTGTTTTGGCAGATTGATCTGAAATAGACTTTAAAACTTTCCCTCCCTCCTCCCTCGGATGATTTCATTCTGAACTCGAGTTGGTCTGGTTCTGTGCCTTGGTATTACAACACACCAAAATCACTTGAGAAAATGACAAGTGAATAACAATAGGGAAAAAATAACTCATAATCTGCTTCCTTATTTCAGTATTTATGGAAACTCCGTTGGAGTAGATGCACGTCAGTAGCAAATGCCCTTTTCAACTCTCAGGCTTCCATTGGAGCCACCAAGTGTGGTCTCTAGAACATGCTCCCTTCTTTATTTCCAAACAGTTCTTACTCCCCACTTGTGTATCTGATGACAACTGATGAGCCAGCTTGCATCCTGTGCCTGCCTTGGAAGTCATGTCTTCAGAACAGCATGGGGTGATCTTCATGGCTCTTGGAATTCTTGTCCTGTGACATGGGCACAGGTTGCATTTCAGAACTGTTCTGCTCAACTCAACTCAAGTCTACTTCTAACATTTATTAGAATAAAAAGAAAAGACTAATTTATTCTGGAGTCACAGAAGATCACAGCTAATAAAACCAATCTGTATAGTCTTGATAAACTTACTGATGGTAGTACCATGTATTACCATTTAAATTATCATAAAATTATGATGATAATTTAATGATAGGATCATAAAGGCTGTAAGAAATGGGAACCATCCTGGTTTTGATGCCTTTTTGGTAGGAAGTTTGTGTTTGCAGTTAACACTCCTGTCAGAAACATTATGACAGGTGGTGCAAGTGTTTTCTCAAGGATCACAGTTGACTTGAAAATTCAAATTTTGTATTGATAAACCTTGAGGAAAAATGTTCCTGCATTTTCTAGAAATTCTGTTTGAGAACAAGGGTTAAATTATGTTTGAAATGGCTTTTTAAAAGAGATTTATTTTCGTTTCTTGTGCTAAAAGGCTCTTTAGTGAGTGCATTTCTTAACCAGTGCTTTTTAAATTAGGGTGAATTTGAGAGACACTGATATAATTTCATTGATTTATGCCAATTTGTGATGATGAAATGTAAGCACACTTAGCCCTTTAGCAATAGGCAACAATTACAAAGTGTTTCCTCCCTTAGAAATCAAGACATACTGGGAATCTGGTGGCCTCTAATAAATATTAACTGAAATAAAAGCTCAAAGCATCTGTTCTGAGGTTTTTTTTCATGCTGCTCATAACGTGGATTTCCTCCTGGACCCTGAAATTACAGGAACTAAAGTTTTAATTCTTTTTGATGGCCTTTCTTCAGCTAAGATTATCCTTTTCCACCTTACTTACATCACCAAGAAGTAGGTGCTAGGATGTTTAATTATGCAAGAAATAATTACAATATCCTGCTCAGCATTCCCTAGATTACACTGCCCTCTACAGCTATTAGCATTAGTTTTTAGTCAAAAGGCAGTAACATGCCCTGGAAATATTTTCAAGACTTAGAGCAAGAAAAAAACTGTCAGGAGAAAAATTTTAAACACTGCAGAGATCACTTGGTGGTATCTGGAGCCTTGGATAAGTGCAGAGACACTCAGGAAAAATGGCTTGTTCTTTCCCAAGCTGCAGCCAAGGAATATTTAGGTTATTATCCCATAAACACTTTCCTGGGTGTTTTTGTGGAGGTTGTTGGGCATGAAGGGGTGAAGCTGGGAAGGTCAGGGTCAGTCTGGGCATCCATCCCCTTTGGTTATGTCTTGAGCCACCTCAGCTTCTGTCTTGGCACAGGGCTTTGTGTACTTGACCTGCTGAGGTCCCTTCCAGCTCTGTTTTCCCAGGTAAGGTGAGGGTTAAGGTTACACCTGAATTCATGGAGTGCTTCACTGGGATACTGCATATTCTGAGTTCCATGGAATCTTCAGTGCATGTGGAAACCACTTGAAAGGCTGTCACAGTTTCAGTTCTGAACTGGTGTGTTCCTGATTGCTTTCCATTTATTCTCTGCAGATCCTGATGAGTTTGAGAGGATCTATGAGCCACTAGATGTGAAGAGCAAGAAGATTCACATTGTGGACAGTGGGCTTACCTTCAACCTGCCCTACCCACTCATCTTGAGACCTCAAAGGGGTGTTGATCTCATAATCTCTTTTGATTTCTCAGCGAGGCCAAGTGATTCCAGTCCTCCTTTCAAGGTAAGGAAGACAGGCCATGCCTTTCTTTGTGTCCATAAATTCAGGTTGGCTCAGTTGTGTTCTTCCAGTGAGGCTGGTTGCATGTTTCATGGCTTCAGAAGGCCCTGGATCACCAGCTTTGGAGCAATTTCCCACGTCAAGGCAGAACGTTGGACTCTGCCTCAGTTCCTGTTTACATGATTCACATGAGGCAGCTGACACAGAGAGAGCAAATATCACTCATTTGAAGTAGTAGCTCTGCTGTTTTATTAAAGTTTTGCCTTCATGCTGGATTGTAGAATTTCTCTGATGTCAGGATTAAACAATTAAGTCAGTCTAGCTCTGGTCAGCTGTTCTATGTGATGGAAATGAACAGTTCTGTTCATCATCTTGCAGGAATGTATGTCAGTCACTGGTATTGCTAAATATGTATTATTTTGGAAGTGGGGCTAACTCTTCATTTATATCTCACTGGGATAATCCCAGTAATGGTTTAAGTAGGATTCCTAAATCCATGCAGGCAAGAGCAAAGCAACCATGGGAGAATCCAGCAGGTGTGGAGGGCAGAGCTGTTGTTCTCTGTAGGACCTGTGCATCCAGACAGCTCTGACTGATCAGGGATGTTGGATCATTTTGGTAACTAACACAGAAAGCAACACTTAAGACTCCTGTGAGTTACTCAAAGTCAAAAAGCAGTACTTATTTGAAACCTATGGGAGTTAAAAAAATGAAATAATTAAGGAAGCAAAGAAAACTTCCCTGTTTGATAAACAGTTGGCATTCTTTGTTGCTTTACAAAGAAGTTTCAATTAGAACAGAGTATTTTTTCCTTCCCCTTGCTATCAAGGGATAAAAACCTCCAAAACCCATCAGAGATTAACAGCAGTAGCAAAAGGACCTGTAGATCAGTGTTGTTAAGTGCACAAAAAACCACCAAGCTTCAGGAGAATAAAAAGGGATAATTTCTGTCATCTCTAGGTCTCTTGGGGACTACCTGTCATAGAGTCACAGACTGGTTTGGGTTGGAAGGGATCTGCCCTCTGCCATTGGCAGGAAACACCTCCCATAGGTCCAGGTTGCTCCAAGCCCCGTCCAACCTAGTCCTGAACGCTTCCAGGGAGGGGGCATCCACAGATTCTGTGGACAACCTGGGCCAGTGTCTCACCACCCTTACAGTGAATAATTTCCTCCTAATGTGTAACCTAAATCTCCTCTCTCCTGGTTTGAAACTGTTCCCCCTCATCTCATCATTCCCTGCCCTTGTCCCAAGTCCCTCCCCAGCTTTCCTGGCGCCCCTTCAGGCACTGGAAGGGTCTCTAAGGTCTCCCTGGAGCCTTGTCCTCTCTGGGCTGAACACCTCAACTCTCTCAGCCTGTCTCCAGAGCAGAGCTGCTCCAGCCCTTGGATCATCTTTGTGACCTCCTCTGGACTTGCTCTGACATCTCCATGACCTTCTTGTGTTGGGGACTCCAGAAATGGACCCAGCCCTGCAGGGGGGCTCTCACCAGAGCAGAACAGAGGGGTAGAATCCCCTCCCTCGACCTGCTGGTCACTCTGCTTTTGATGCAGGAGGAGAAGAACTCTGAGGAGACTAGTACTAGCACTGAGATCCTTCATTTTCCCTGAGGTGACTGAATCCTGCAATCTGTTTCTTCCTTTAATTTCCTATGACTTTAAGAATTTGTCTTATTTTGTTATTACCATTTTCCTGTCAGCCAAGTGTGCTGCCTCAGCACTATCATCTCCCCTAAACATCTTTGTTAATGTCTGCATGTGGAGTCTGATTTAGGTTATGGTTGGATTTAGGTTATGGTTGGACTTGATGATCTTCAAGGCCTTTTCCAACCAGGATGACTCTGATTCTGTGCACAAGTCTGCATGTGGTCATCTTTGTTCTTATTCTCAGCCACTGAGCTTTCTGTCTCCATCAGCTGCCACTTTCTGTGCTGCCTTGGGGAACACCCCATAACAGGGAGGGATTGCTTGGAAGTCAAGTGCATCCTGCAGGTTTCTCTGGAAACTCCAATTTTAAAAAGGGAAAACCCTTTGGTGCACAAAAAAATAGCAGGAAGACGAAATGGTGCCTTAGGTTTTTCACGAAGCCAATTGGAAGGGAAGGGTTTATTAATTCCAAAGTGTAAAGTCATGGATCATAGGGAGTGATGTCCCTCCAGCTAGTCTGAGCAGAGGGCCTGGAGGCCAAAAGCCAGAGTTGGGTGCTGGCTGCACAATCCTGTTGGGCGTGCGTGAGTTGCCAGGAGGGGTGGCAGTGCAGGAGTGGGCCTGTATCCATGGCAGCACCCTCTGGTGCACTCACTTGTGCACCACAGGGAGGAGGCAGCCAGTGACTCGCCTCTTGTTTTAGCATTTTACACCCACTATCTCGCAATCTCTTGCGTATCCAAAACAGTTGCCCCACAAAGGGGTCCTATTTCATTCAAAACCAAGATTAAAGATGTTGACCTTCCCTCTCCTCCCGCTCACACACCCTCATTACAGGCTTTTGAGTCATTATTTACAAATTAGTTTGTTTACTGAGGTGTCACGAGGGAAAAGAGGCCTGTGTTCCAGACCTGCCTTCCTCCCTCAGCATTCCTCCCGCTGGTCTGCGCCGCGAGGTGCCTGAACGTAGCGATGCGTGGATGGGTGTTTATGAGCTCTCCCTGGTTTCCACAGCACTGACTTTTTTCTGGTTGTCAGCTCTGTAAATGCACCCCAGCATTGATGTGACAGGCCAGCTCTTCCCTTCCGGTGAATCACTGCAGGTGGTGAAGGTTGGGCAGGCTCAAGGAGGTGCTCAGTTGGCCACACCGGGTCTAGACCAGGACTGATCATTCCTTCTGCTCTAACAAAGCATGAGTTAATACAACTGCTTCCAGTCACCACTTGGACCTGTGTTTCTCCACCTAAAATCTCACTTTGCAGTGGACCCCCATATGCACCTGAGTCTTTGTTACCTTTTCAGGAAATCTTGCTGGCAGAAAAATGGGCCAAAATGAACAAGCTTCCTTTCCCAAAAATAGACCCAAACGTGTTTGACCGAGAGGGCATGAAGGAGTGCTATGTCTTCAAACCCAAGGATACCTCTTCAGAGAAGGACTGTCCAACCATAATCCATTTTGTTTTGGCCAACATCAACTTCCGGAAGTACAAAGCTCCAGGTGAGCACACACTTTCTGGTGCTAGATCTACCTGTTCCTTTGAAGCTTTATTATTATTATACACCAGAAATGTTTTGGCTGTGGAAAAACTCCATGGCAGCTAGGGATTTCAAAAGAGCCATTAAAAAATCAGATGCAAGTCCTAAGACTTGAGGTTTAGATTGTCTTTTTGTCTGTGTTCTGCATGCAGGAGTCCCAAGAGAAACACAGGAAGAGAAGGATTTTGCAGACTTTGACATTTTTGATGATCCAGATACTCCATTCTCTACCTTCAACTTCCAGTATCCCAATGAGGCTTTCAAGAGGCTTCACGACCTAATGGAGTTCAACACCCTCAATAACATTGATGTATGTAGGCCAGTGTGGAAGGGTGTAGATGGTCACATGGGAAAGTAGGTGATGCTGGTAAAGCCCTAAATCTTTCTGACAGCAGGCACTGGGGTTTACATCAGTGTTTGCTGGGCTGTTAACAACGTATGAAGTGCTTTTAGTTGTGCTCCTTGCTGTTCCCAGAATTGAGGCTGGATCAAAGCACATCATAGTCTGTGGGAAAACAACCTGCTTTCTTGGGATGCAGGCTGGAGCTTATGCAGAAGCACAGGCAAACTGTGGCAGGGTCTCCTTGCATCCTTCCAGTCTGGGGAGGAGGGAGGAGGCCAGTCACTGCTGGTAGTACAGTGGCCAGAGTTACCTGAAGAGAACTGGGTGAGGCACAGGGTGAGAACTAGATGAGGAGAAGCTGGTTTCAGCACTTGACCTCCCTTTCTGAAGTACCAAAGTACCAGTGTTGTGGGAAGTATTGCCATAAGCCACTGAGCAAATACACTGCTGGAAGGGCCAGAGGTGCTTTCCAGTGGTGAGGAAAAAAAACCTGTCGTCAGCATTCCTGGGGCTGAGAAGATGATTGATGTCATATTGTGGCCACCTTCCAAATAGCAGAACCAGTGGAGTGGAGTATGTGTGCTTCTCAGGTGTGAGCCTGTGTTTCCTAGGAGTCATTCCAATTCATATCCTTTTTAATTTGGTTCCTGTGTTGTTTTTGTCATTTTACTATCAGAAGTCCTGCAGGGTTACTGAGCAAAGCGTCTGTGTTCAGGATTTCATACCCAGTTCTTTATGGATGCTGATTTTCTAACTGGAAAAGAGGAAAATGGAATTTTTATGTAAAGATCTCTGGAAATTTCTTCATCAGCTGGCTCAGCAATAATCCTGTTGAATTGTTTCTAGCTGTAACACAGACCATGATCCCAGCATCCACAGAGTTACTTGCCATCTTCACAAGGGAAATAATTATCCCAGATAAAGAAATTATTATTTTTTTTTAGAGGCACTGAACAAATCTTGTTACTTCAGGACAAAGGAAGCAGAAGTGAAGATTTACTTAAGATAGTTATTTTCTGTGTCCTTGAAGTATGGATTTTCTCAGTGTTTTGACTTACCCTTCAGAATCAAATTGAGACTCAGTGAAATGATGTGTTCTTGACTTCTTGGAGGTTGGTGCTATCCTGCCAGAACTTGATTGACTGTGTTAAAATCAGTGTTTTAAGCAGTGAAGAAATAGCATTCATCACACTGCTCAGCAGTCCCTGCTCAGTGATGGAGCAGTGGTAAAAGCAGCTGTTCGCATCTCAAGGGGCCTTTCAACCAAGTAATAAATCATTACTGTGTTGGTTATTTCCCTGAACGATGCCTTGTTCCCTGTTTTCCAGGTGATCAAGCAGGCTATGATGGAAAGCATTGAGTACAGGAAGGAGAACCCCTCTCGCTGCTCCGTGTCTCTTAGCAGCGTTGAAGCAAGGAGGTTCTTCAATAAGAACAATCTGAACAACAACCCTACGTAGAGGATGTGTCCTGGGTCCCACTCCTTCAAGAACCTGGTTCTGCCTTTATAACTGGAGTCAAAAAGACATTGTCAGAGCATCCCTGCTCTGGGCTGGGCAAAGCTTATTTTCTTGTGAATTTTCAAGTTTCAATACAGGTTGTTGTTTTTTTACTTTTTCAAACTAAGCCCAAAAACATTTCAGTTTGCTGATACACTTCTTTTTAAAAACATGGAATGAGTTCTGCTGTGGTCGTTGGCCTCAGTGGTTGGTTTTTACTTTAAAAAGTGTCAACACTGGTTTCTCATAGTGGGCCAGTTTTCCACTTCACTACTCAATACTGCATTTAAGAATCTGTGTATCCTCTCAGCAAAAGTCCAACCTCTCCTATGTCCTTTTTCTTTTTTGTTTCACAAAACTACATTGCTTGGGTCCTTGAGCCTGTATGTTGAGTTGCTGCTACTGCCTGTAATTCTGGCCAAAATGTTTCTGGAGAGGTGAAAAGAGATTTTTAGCCTTTGATCATAAAGAGAAGCATCTCATTTCTGCAGAGGGACAGTGGCAACGTGTGCCACTGCAGTGTTCCCAGGGAGAGCTGCAGTGTTCCCAGGTAAGAATGTGAAGTAGCTCCTGCTTTTAGGGCTACTTTGAAATGCATATTTTCTAGTACGTTGAGTAACAAAAGATCATGCACAGACATATATAATTTTAGTACCGTCTCACACGTTTTGGGGCCTCTTGGCTGGATTGTTTCCTTTTCTTGAGGTAGGTGGGATCAGCTCTCAGCAATGCACTGGGAGGACCCAGCTGTTGTTCCTTAGCTCCTTTTTTCTGAAGTTTCAAGGCAGGAGCTGAGTGGTTTACAGCCATAGGATCATAGCATGCCTTGGGTTGGAAGTGACCTCAAAGACCATCTGGTTCCAGCTGCTCATTGATCAGAGCTTATTGCTAATTCAGTGGCTGTTCCTTTTATTGGGAATTATTGATCTGTTTGTAATTGCTAAAATCTGTAAGCCCATGGGAAGAGAAGGAATGAAAATGCATTTCTTTTAGCAGCCACTGCCTCATGCCTCCTTACATCTACATGTTGTTAATCATGTAACATCACATCTCCTGTATTGATTAATAGCTTTTCTTTCTGTTTGAGTTAGTGCATGTTTAACATGAAGAGGGAAGATTAAAGTAACTTATCTTAGTGCTTTATAATTTAAACATTTTCAATAAATTTCAATATACAGGAAGAAACTGGTACTGTTATTTTATTGTGATATTTTCTTTCTAATGTTTGGGGTTTTTTTCCTTTGGTTAACATAATATTTGTATTTTTTTTTAATATGTACCTGCTCTGTTTCATGGAAATGTTTTATCATACTTTATACTGTTTCTATTATCACAGTGTTACCAGACAAAAAAAAATAAAACATAACTGTATTTGGCCTTGCTGTTTTCAGACAGTTCATTTTCATCACGGTCAGGACAATTTCACTTCCATTGGGAAGAGATGTGGGCCAGCTCCCAAGCAGGAGGGGCAAGTTTTGGCACGCTAGTCTTTCTCTTTAGTTTAGCTGTTAAAACTACAACCTGTTTGAGCAGCCTGGTGTATGGGGACAGCACATCAATCCATTTCTCTGCTGGGGTCAGTGCAGAACAGATCCTTTGTGTTGTTGTGGGAAGAGCAACAGGAAACAACTACCATATGGCTCTGGGCTTTGGGTCCTTGCTGCCTTTATTCTCAAAGTTTTAAAAAGCAGGTCAAAGAAGAAAGCTTCTCCAAGCCTGGTGGGATCAAATAGCTGCTGGCCTGTTGCTTCATTGGGGTGACAACCAGGAGCACGTTGGTAGGGACATCCAGGTGCAAGGGCATCATTCTGATGGTGAGGATTGTTCTGTTACTGTGTGATGAGTAAGGCTGAGAGTCAGTGATGGACAAGAGGCCTGAGAGTGAAATACTAGAGGTGTGAAAAGCTTGTGGTCTAAAACCTACATGGAGGGAGGAACAGGTGTTTTGGGATGCACCAAACCCCTGAGCCAGCCCAGCTGGGCCTTGCAGTGCTGTGGGTTTTCTCAGCTTGGAGCAGGGTCTGCCAGCCAGGGCAGGAGTTCCCCCTCCTCTGATAAAAGCACATTTGTCATAAAAACTCCTACCTTTTTCACATATTGGAGGTGTTTTGGGCTCCCAGAAGCTGCTTGGTGAGTTCATGACTGTTTCCCT